ATAGATAGGTGGCATCAACGAAAAAAAAATGATTAATTCACAAAATCACATGCATATTTGGTCATCAACTGTATTCTGTTGGAAGGAAAGAAAAATGCTCCAACAGACTAAAATTGTTTTAAAAGCATCAAATTAAAGTATACGAAGAAAAGTAAAATGGCAAAAAAGAAAAAGGCAAAAATACTGCAAACCAAAGTTTGGCATAATTTAAACGATACTAACAAATCAAAAAGGCAAAAGATCAACGATATGCTTTACCTTCTATTAATGCATAATTTCTTCTAAACAGGATGGCTAATGAAGAAATGGACGTGGCTTCAATTCTTCAGGCCTAAAAATACATCAACAAATATGTAAAACAATCCAACTAAGACAGAACATAAAAAAGCTGCATAATTTTTTCAGAATGCTCTTTTGTTGGCAAAAACTAAAATAAGTAAAAACAAATAACAAATCCTCACGAAGGCATAATTTTTTCTTCTTCCCTTCTTTTCAAACATGCAGCTTTTGGATTCATATTCCTTTGTCGAACCTTAAATAATGGTCTTCATTAAACTGGTGGGAAATTTTGACTTCCACCATTGAAAAATTCCAATCCAATTCAAAAAAAAATTTTTTCCACTCAAAACTCATAAAAATAAAGTATGAATAAAAGTAAATTCTCTTTTGCCTTCTCAACATCCAGCAAACAAACCTGCTCTTCAAGACCAGTAATGACTGCAACAGCCTGATGAAGTACCCCAAGTTTAGTTTGAGCCTTTTCGCCTCCACTGTTCTGCAAATGCTGCGCGCACATCTTGCCCAACTCTTTAAACGCCATATTTATATCCTTCACCCGTATCCTAAAACAATCGAATATCAAGTAGCCAGTTAACAAAAACATTACACTCACGGTTTAAACCTCCAGCGCAGTACCTTTCTCGAGCGTTATTAGCGGATCGTCGATCGGCTTCTCGATCATCCGCTGAACGACTGTCCTCATCCGAATCCAATTTTACACTTTTTGAACGTTTCTTTGTTGTAACCCGTGGTGCAGTCATATAATTCAATGAAGATGTCGAAGTTGCTGAAGTCATCCCACCAACACCGCTATGCATGCTGTAATCTGGGAACTGTTCTCGCGAAATACCTGTCATCAAATCGCTGCGAGGTCCCGCTGCCATTGCTGAGGAAAACAAAGAATACGCATATATATAACTGACTTATTATCCCTAGACGTACCAACTGTTTCTTTAGCTTTATCAATGTAAGTAATAGCATAATGCAATTACTGTCACCAAAGCCAAAAACCAACCATAGGGGTCGACTTGTGGAATCGATGCAGGAGGTTGCGGTACGATCCGAGGTTCATCAGCAATTGGAGCTGATACATTCTGAATTATCGGCTTGTTACACTAAAAAAAAAAATGAGTACTCTGGCTGTTTACGATACAAAAGTATCAAACTTAGGGAAATCCAGAAGCATACTACACCGTACTGCTCGAAAGATTCAAAAAAATAATAAATAAATAAATAAATCCTCGTCTTAGTGTATGCTACAGTAAACGACTTTATCGACAGCTATACAATTCCAACCAAGAGAAGAGGAAACCAGTTTCAAGTACCGTTTTAATCGTGTGGATAGACACGTTGCTTGTTAACAACGACTTCTTTTCCTTGTTTCTCTCTTCTTTTTTTCCTCCACTTTTCCAACAAAACAATTCAGTGGAAGGATATAGCAGTAGCTGTTGTAGTATGAACAAAACTTATTCCCGAATGAATTGTTTGGGCAAAAATTTTGAAAAAAGCCCTTGGTTCGGCCTAATCCCGCTATGTACATATATATCTTAAAAAATCATTCATATTTGCCAGAAATATCATCCACTGCATATGTTTTTCGTTACGGTTATTTGGCTTTTATTGGAAAAGAGAAAAAGCCTTTTCGACTTCAATACCAAAAACTGTTCAGGACGGCAAAAAATCCACCATGGGCAGAAAAAAATGTCCAGTAGACAAGGACAACAATAATACCACCCATCAACTCCTTTAGCAATCTTTTTAAAGGTAAACAGAGAATGGGAAAAAATTCCAATAAAAAAGTTGTGTCGTTGATGTATCTGATGCGTGTTGTTTAAGTTAGAGTTGATGATTATTGCATTTTTCATTTGTAATTTTTGTGAGATTTTTTGAGAACAAAGAAATTTAGACAGATGTTGACCGCCCTTAACGCGCTATAACACATATAACAGCAGCATAACATATCGCATCCATACCCATTCATCCAACCCTCTCACTCATTCCCTCCCTTCCACTTTTCTTCTCTTTCCCTCTGTTGCTGTCTCACTTTCCCTTGGCATTAACCAACGTCAGTAGTAACAACAATGCACTCAAACACTGCTTAACCAGGCCGTAGATCAGCATATATCTGTATGTATGGAAATCGAAACAACAGACAGAAAAATGAAGAAAATGGAGAAACCCGAGAGACAAGATAGCAAGCAAATTGACAAAGAGGGATAGGGATGAAAATCTGCGTTGTTCTACCATAGACACTACAAAACCCCACAAAACAAAAACCTCTATCTTTTTTTATTTGGGGAAGCCTCAAACGTGTTATTGGGACAGAAAGGTCAACTACAGAAATGCCGGAGAGCAAAGAAGCCACAACTGGAGTATTATTAATGATACCCGTATGAGCCCTTATTCACTAATATCACTCCCCCTCTCTAAACCAAAAACCAAAGTCTCATTGCTTTTTTTTCTTCCACTTCTTCTCCACTCTTCAACCTCCATCAAAACAATACGGCAAACAACAATGATAGAATAAATGAACTTTAAAATGTTAACTGTATTTGTGAATATTGTAAGGAAGGAGGGGTGAAACAAGGATCCTTTCATATAAGAGTAACAAGGTCTTTTTCTTCTACAAATATAACATTGATTATTTACGCTTCAATTAGTTTTGCTCTCGTTTTGGCTTCTTCCACAGAGAAGAGGCAGTAGCAGTAACAATCAGCTGAAGTCCTTCTTCTACAATAAAATTGCAAAATAAGCATGAAGAACGAATGTCTTGGAAGTTTCTCAGTAAATCTTTGAAATCTTTAAACTCTGCTTTCATGCTGTCGTCGTTGCTGCAATTCGGAAATTCTATATTAAGGATACTAAAACTAGAAAGTTGGAAAAAAAGCTGATCTAATTCTGATCATCTATTACCTACGTTGAGTTACTTACTAGTAAGTACCAAACAAAGCAGTTCTGCAACCACTAATGATCGATATCAGACTTTAAACTAGCCATGAAAAGAATTAAAAAAAAGTTCTGCTTCATGGTTCCGTCTACCGGTGGTGACCTATGCATGGACATTTCTGCTTTTTTTTTTCTATTCCTCTCCATACAAAAAAAACTTCTAACCAGAAGTAGCAATAGCATTAACCTCTACAGCAAACTGCAATTTGAGTATTTTAAAACCACAAAAAAAGCCCAATTTTAAATTTTGCTTGAAAAAATTATGTTATATATTTTAAAAGAAATAAGTTTTTTGCTCCCATAAATATCCACAAAAGGAGTAGAAGGAAGGGAGAACGGTAATGATCGATAAACGAAGAAAAAGATAGCATAAAACTAACAATTTAACCGAATAGAAAACCATCTGGTACATCTACAACACAACTATATGATTTGTTTCCAGTTATGTTTTATCCAGAAAAAAAAATTTTTTTTTTCTCTTCTAAATTTTATTGCTTTGGTAATTTTTCAGTGAACTGTCAATGAATTATTATTATTGTACTTGTCTTGCAATGATGACGGAACGATTAATGACAACGAAAAGATACTGAGACAGAAAAAAAAATTGATCAAAAATCTGTTTCACTGCAGATTTATTGTATACTGTAAAATTTTCTAAAGTAATAAATTATTGTCCTACAAAAAAAAAAAA